AGAGAGAGCCTGGGCTGGAGGGGCATGGCTGGCTGGAGCCAGGCGGTGGGGGCCCGCGCCTAGTTCGGCGACGAACTTCCAGTTGGCTGTTTGTTTTAGGGAGAGGGCAGGGGTTTACCTATTTGTGGGAGCTTTTGACTCGGCTCAAAACTTAACCAAGGCATTAGTGGCAGGTAACACCATTGCTGATAGTTACTGTTACGGCGCTGGTGTGTTTGTTTATCCCGCATGCAGGGAAAGTGACACGCAGGACGTCGGCCCTCGGGTCCGGTGCCCCCACCCACGTTTCTTTTCAGCAGAGGGGATGGGGGTAGGTAGGCCTGTGCGGGATCATCCCAGCTCGCCCAGCTCGTGTTTTAGAGGAGGAAAAGTTCAGGTGGGAGAGTCTGTTTGGGACACAGCTACTGTTGCAGCGTTGGAGATAGTTTTCACTGTTGGGAGGAGTACCCAGGCCGGTCAGTCAGTGGCCCCCTTTAAACCTTCTGTTAGAACTCTAATCTGCTTTAAATTACAAAATTAAAAATCTATTTCTTTTTAATCAATTAAGAACATAAGTCATGATTTATTTCTTTCACTTTTGCAGTTACTTCTGCTGTTAGGAGTGACATTTCTTTGCTCATTTCTTTGCAGGGCTGAATTATTGATCTCTCTGGTGGAATTCTTTTTAAAATTAAAAATATTGAATTTATCTACTTGTTAAAGTCTTACGCGCTTCTTTGCAGGATTATGGCTTTTTCCATAACTAGATAAAATGTGGAAAGGACATATCACAAAAGTGATCAAAATAATTTAGAATTAGAAAGGCCTGAGACTAGTTTAAGAAAACATTTTCTATCAAAAAATAAGATCTGTTGTGTGACTTTATTGATAGACTTTTTTTTTTTTTTTGGATGTGCCTAGTGTATTTTATAGTTATTTCCAAATTGTGCCCCAGCAGTAGCTGAACTAAGATACAGTATCTTCATAGTTCTTATATGTTAGCTTTTATATTTACACACACAAAAAAATTATAGGGAACCAGCAGTTAGCATAATGGCTATGTGAACCAGCAGTTAGCATAATGGCTATGTCGCTGAACTCGCACGTAGTCGACCGCGGTTCGCGTACCGGACCCGGTGGCTTAAAACTCACACCAGGCACGTGTGCGTGCCCAAGATCCTGAGAAGAGAATGGAGGAGAAGGGATTGCAGCGTGACCATCCCCCCTGGGGGGTGATTTTTCGCTTTCTGTCTCTCTGTCTCTGTCTGGCGAGCGCACATGCCCTATAGTGAAAAACCTCTCCAAAAAAAAAAAAAAAAAAGAAAGAAAATTATATTTACGGGCATTGGAAGAAAGATGTTATCAAATCCATTGTATGTCTTTGGCATGGATTCTTAGCATCTATAGATACTTTTGCTTTAAGTGAATTTGCACTTCTGGGTGCGCATCATGTTAGTAGTTCTCACTAGAATGTGGATAGCAAGGTTAATTTTAATGTTGATATGTACGAGACTTTTCTGGGGGATCTTGAGAAGTGGTTACTGATTTATTAGACTCAATGGCCTCTTCTGCCATTCATCAACCTAAACATTAATGTATTGGTAATTATTGGTATTTCCATCGTTCTATTTGCAATCATTAACAATATATTAAAATGTTCACATATTGAGCCATTGTTTACTTCCTTCAAAATGAAGGACTGAGGCTCAGCAGGTGGTATGGTAGTTAGGGTGCTGGATCCCACATGGCCTGCAGTATGGTTTGAGTCCCAGATCTTATGGCCTGAAAAACATGTTGGGTGCGTGTGTGTGAGTGTGTGCCCAAAATCCCGAGAGGAGAGTGGAGGAGGAGGATTGTGGTGTGGACATCCCGCCTGAGTGATTTATCGCTTTTCCCTCTCCCTGTTGAGTGCACAGACCCCATGACAAAAAACAGTCTAAAGGAAAACAAAATAAAGGACTGGGAATAGAGTCAAGAAATAATAGTTTAACAGAGGCCTGCAGGTGGCATGAGGTTAAGGTGGTGGATCCCATATGGCCAAGTATGTGGTTTGAGTCCCGGATACAGCGGCTTTAAACAAACAAACAAACAAACAAAAAAACCACCCAAAACAAACAAAAAAAACACTGGGCATGTGTGCATATATGCCCAAAATCCCAGAGGAGGCAGGAGGAGAAAAGATTCTCATGTGGCCATCGCCCCCCAGAGTGATTTCTCACTTTCCCTCTCTGTCTCTCTCTGTTTCTCAATGACAAGAACACACACCCTCTAGCAAAAACTTAAAAGAAAAAAATGAAAGAGTTTAACAGAACCTGTACTTCTACTCTGTGTATGGGACTTACACTCTTTGGTGAGGATGGGAAAATGTGTAGATATGAAGATGAATGAGATCTATCTGCCTTGGTGGGAGAAGCAGACAGGCACAGAAATCATTGCAGTGCAAATTCTTATGGGTTTTATTAGAGGTACAGGGAAGCATGGAGTGCGTGCGAGTGAGCGATACAAATTTTTGACTGGGGAATTATGAATGAATGTAGAACTGATGACGCTCTATCTGGGCCTTAAAAATACATATATATATATACACACACACACAATTATTTCATTTTTTTTATTATTTAAAAAAAATTTGATCAGAGAGACAGAAAGAGAGAGAAGGGAAAGTGAGAAAGCAAGCCGCCAGGTCTGGGACTCGAACTGCAGTTGACCATGTGGAAGTCCAGCACCCTAACCAACACACCACCTGCTGGCTATTTTAGTAGACAACACGGGGCCTAGGGAAGGAGCAGTTTTCTGGGTGAAGGGAACATCCGGAGCACAAGCATGTAGGTGGGTGTATGGGGCCTGCTGAGCTTTGGGCTGCTGTGCCGGGAGGTCTTTGTGGAAGATGCAGTTACGAAAGCTGGTGGAGATCAGGCCGTGGACGTCCATAATGCCTCAGATTTCAGAATGAGTCTGTTTGAGGTATGAAGGCTCAAGCATGCCGATCCCATGCTGATGATAGGTAGGCCAACAAGAATAGTCAATGTAAGGAAACGGATTAAAGCAGAACAGTGGACTCTCATGCGTGCCGCTGTAGGAGAACAGCAGCGTATCTAATCCAAACTAGCTAATGCACGGCCTTCTTATATTTACTTCCATTTGAATTGTGGGTGTGTCTGGTAATCTAGTAATTGGTTTTACATGAAATAATTTTAGCATGTAAAACTGTGACCCAGGAAAAAAAGGGAAGCTCTCTAGTTACTTCTGTGTCTTCTCTGATTCACCCTGTTATCCCCTGCTGGGAAATAGATCATTATTCTGGTGTAGTTTATCGGTTTTAGTATTTTTTTCAGAATGGGGCAAATTGTGGTTTAGATTCAGGGGCTTCCCGTAAGTAAGGCTATATCAAACTAAATAGAAGGAATGCTGAAATATTAAATGAAAAATACAAGTCATTTGGTAGTTATATATTATACTGTTAATACATTTGAAGAGGACACTTACTATGGATAACGTGAAAAAATGAAAAATCCATATAGGAAAATAATAAGTATGACAGTGGGATGATAAAATAAGCAAAATTCCACAATTCCAGATGAAATATGTGAGATTTTTTAGTCATCTTAAATGTTAGGTGATCCTAAAATAATAACTCCAAACTTAATCATTATTAAAGGTGTACTTAGAAAAATATCACCTTCACAACACTAGTTTCTAGGTTTATGTAGAATCATGTTACAGGGAAAGTTGTTACATTGTTTTTTTTTTTTTTTTAAACTAAGTATTCCTATCTTAGCATTCAGAAAGGACTTACTGTTATAAGTGAATTTGTGTTACCTTAAACCTCTCAATAATAGTTACAATTTATTAAGTGTTTACTATGTATAGAGACAGTAAATGATGCTAAGAGTTAGGTGGTGTAACCTGCATTTTCCAGAACAGGAAGCAATCTTCTAGAGTTTAACCCCTTAAAGACAATATTTTGGAAGTAGCAGGGTACATATTTGAATCAGTTTTCTCCCCTCTGATTTCAAAGTCTTAGTGATCT